TTCTAAGAAAATAGAAAGCAAGAATATTTGAAGAATGAAATGAAAATCTACAACCTAGAAGTGTTACGGTATTTTATATTGCATTATTCAGCGTTACACAATTGCGTCAAATTTAAAACAACCGTCGACCTTGCATTATGGGCTGCTTTTATTGAGAAATTTATTTTTAGCGCCAATCCTAGAGTGAGGAAACCAAGGCATGTTTCCATAACTTTTACTTCAAGGTTCTTCTAGCAGAAACCTAATTATTGTATAAGTTCTTGTATCATCCTGCATGTTTGAGCATACGTGCATGACGACGTCATTTTATGTGTGGAACGGTTTGGAACGTTTGTGTGCGTTTCCCAGGCATTTCCATTCAGCACACGCAAACTTCACATGAAGACGACTTTAAAGAACAGCCCGTAGTCGTTCACATAACTTCTCATTCGAAGAATGGATGCAGCTTGTCCGAATGGATGCAAAAAATTGCGTTGACAGATGCGCTGCGACAGCGACACATTGCGACGGTTCGGAGGGTGCGAGACACTCTGCTTGACGACAGATTCGTTCAATCACCTTCAAAGATTGCTCTCATTATAAGTCATGCATGAAACCAGTTGTGGTCATTGGGAAAATAGTGCTACTTACCTAGAGACTGTAGGCGATGACTAAAGTGATGTGTGCTGCGGATTTGTGAAGATTGAGTGCAGAGTGATAGGGTGTAGTGTAGGACACGGTGCTAAGCTATTGCGACAAAGCCGTCTTGGCTTGTGGTGTTGTGGTATGATGTTTTCGCACTTTTGGTTTTAAATTTCTAACATAATTAATGAATCCCACTAAATATTAAAATCTCGATGAGTTTCTGTGGTCTCTCCTAAAATAAGAACAAAAAAAGCAAAATTTTACTTCCCTCTATAATGCATAGTGCAGACTAAAAAGCCCACAGAAATATACCTAATTCAATCATGGATTTAAATACTGAATCATTAACATCTCAATGAAATTTTGAGCGACTGTAGGAACTTCAGCACATTCTTGCCGAAAACGTGCCCGGATGAACCTAAAGGCACCTTTCGCATTCGACTTTACTGTAATACTCAGGCCTCGGCACGAGTTCTCCGATTGAACCTTACGAGAACGAATACCCGCTTGAAAACCCAAGAAATTACGAAGCCCCCCTTGCAACTTGTACAAACGCGTGCAAAAAGGACAAGCACTGCAGTGCCGTATACT